CAGGAGAAGCTTGTGTTCATGCCTGCATTTCACACTCTCTTGTCTCCCTTTCAGTTGTGTGACTTCATTGAGACTCATTACCTGGATGAGCAGGTGAAAGCCATCAAAGAGCTGGGTGACCATGTGACCAACCTGCGGAAGATGGGGGCACCAAAATATGGCATGGCAGAGTACCTCTTTGACAAGCACACCCTTGGGGACAGTGACAATAACAGCTGAAGAGCCACCCTGTGGGTTTCAGTGGGACTCCTACTTTGCTGTCCAGCCATGCATGCATCTTCAGCTCTCTAGATAAACAGTTCTTATATTCTGTACCAAATATCACCCCTATTTTCTCTTGTGTTTTGTGTACTGCCCTCCATCCAATAAAGTGACTTGGTTCCAGGTGGCTTTCTCTGTTTCTCTCTGGAGTGAGAGGCCTGCACTGGCAGGGTTGTATTCCATGGTCTGTGCAGCCATGAGTTGGGCATAGATGGAAAATGTGAGAGGAATCAGGTTTTACTTGTTTTGGTGCTTTTATAAAAATGACTCTTGTCCCTTCTGGTGGGATTTCCTGCAGGAATTGCTCAGTGACTGAAGTTGTGTTTTAAAATGTCTTTGCCACCCAAGCTGTTGATGTAATAAATGCTCAAGGAAAGGAAGGTTTGAGTATCTGAGCTTGTTGAATGTGTCCCTGTGAATTCAGGTGAGGCTGTTGAAGTGAGGGTTGGCACCTCACCATTGTGTCTAACAAATGGTGCTGCTGTGTGGAGAAGACATGGAGAGAAGAGATTTCAGAGCTGGGAACTGTTAAAGAGGCTGGACTGAAGCTGCAGGAGCTGCCTCAAGGCCACTGGGTAGTGGTGACCTCTGCCTGGGTCCAGCAGCTGCACTGGGAAGGTGGGGAGAGGGTGAGAAGGGATGTGGGAGGTGGTTTAGATTTGTTATGTGCTCCCTGTGGTACAGGGGACTTGCAGCTGTTTCTGAAGAGAGAAGTACGAAAATCTGGTTCCTCAATTCTTGTTGCAGGGAAACTAAAATGAGGAAGCAAAACAGATGGTGCTTGACTTCAGCCTTTTATTTTTGTAGGAGGGAAAGTAAACAGCTCAGAGCTGCACGGGGTCTGCTGCCAGCCACGTGGCTGAGCACTGCCAGGTTGCTGGCAGATGTGGAACCCCAAAAGGAAGCAGTGTGCTGGGCAGCTGCTGCTGCCTGCAGCCTCCTGTTCTAATGGGCACTTGTCCTGCCCTACCCTGGCACTTTTCCATTACTGGATAACACCAGCTAGACATGACTGTGGGGCTGCAGCACAAATGCTGCTTCAGCCTCTTTCCCCGGAGTATCTTGACTAGTGTAAGTCCTGCCTGAGACCTGTGGTGGGTTGTGGGACCGATGTTGGCATCAAGCTCCAGTTCCAATGGCTGTGATGAGGAGGGAAGGCATCCATGTTAACTATACTCCTGTTTGGGGCTACACCTGCACTCCAGGTTCTTCAGGCTGATCCCTGCTGAGCTCATGTTCTGCTGGTAGCCATCTGCAGTATTTAACACTCCAAGCCTTTTTTTCTTGTCTTGCTACAAATTTAGAGGGTTTTTAAAGTGTTTTATTGTTGTTGCAACCCCAGCTGTGCCTGCTGCTGTGCCTGAGGCCAGCAGGGCTGTGTGGTTAGTGCTGCCTTTAGCCTTGGGCTGGGCTCTACCTGCATGTTCCAGCCAGAACGTGGTGACTTGGCTGCACTGTCCTTGCTGGGGTAAGTGCCAGTGTAGTCAAGGTGTGGAGATACTGCAGTACCACTAACACAGCAGGTATCTCAGCAGAACCCTGTGTCTCTTGGTCTCCTCTAGCTGTACTGATCTATCTGCTCTTCACCTGTGCTTTCACTTGTCTCCATGATCACCTCCATCAGCCCCACGTAGTCACCTTCAGCTAGAGAGATGCCAGAGTCATTAGGGGATGGACTCTCTGCTCTTCTTGGCTCTTTTGTAGTAGTGTTAGTGCTTCCATTTCCACTCTCTCTTGCAGTCCTGGAAACTTCTGGGTGTTGGTCTGGAGCACTGGCTGCATCTTCTAAACTCAGGCTGCAAGTGTCTGGGCCCATGTTCCCCATGGAGGACCTTTCCAGCACTGGGGATGTGACAGGAGGGAAGGAGAAGCAGAGGGAGGTGCTGCCTCCAGGGGTTTTGTTCGTGGGGGTGTGAAAGGCACTTGAGTGCTCAGAGTTGGGTGTGGCTGATGCTGTGCTCTCCAGGGTTAGCCGGGGTGGGTGGGAACCTTTCAAGCTCTTCAGGCTCTTGAAGCTACCCTGCTTCTCGTGGTCTGGGGACTCAGCCAGGAAGGGGAATTTCAGGCTATCTGATGCTGTGGACCGAGCTCCTGGACTTCCTGTAGTGGAAGCTTCTCTGCTTTTCGAGTTGCTCTGCTCTTCTTCTACTGGTAGAATCAGCGAGTCGGGGCCTTTGCTCCGATCTGTTGGCCAAATAAATGTTTCCTTTGCCCCTGAGCCAAGGGAGCTCTGGCTTTTATTCAAGTCACTGACCCTGGAGGGTGAGGTGTTGGCGATGCCATCCCGAAGAGAAGTGGAACAGGCAGCAATGCTGGAGAGGGCAGGAGGCTTCTTGCGGCCTTGGCGTCTGGAAGGGAAGATCATGGGGATGGAGCTGATGGGTGTCTGTGGAGCGCTGTAGAAACCAGGCCTCTCATAGAATGGGGTTGACATGAAGGCATCAAAATCCCTTAGCTTCCTGTCTTCGCTGTCCCACTGGTCCTGTGAGCTGGAGTCTCTCCTTGGTTGGTTGATGCTGCAAGGGCTTCCAGGCTTGCCCACGTCTTGGTAGGTGTAATGGGAGAAGGGGGCTGAGGGGTCTCCTCGTCTGCGCAGCAGGTTCATCCGGGAAGAGGACCTGGAGAAGCTGGGTGACTGGACACCAAGGAGGCGGCCCAGGTGTCCCAGTAAGGGTGTGGAGTGGTTGGCCTCTTCATTCTCTTTGATTTGCTCCAGCGGCTGGAACTCCATCTCTTCTTTCTGCATGCTGGGAAAAGGCAAAAGGGGCTGTTACACCACCACCAGAAGAGGTGGTTTCTGGTGGAGAGGTGGGCAGCACAGGGAGTGCTGCTGCCAGGGGTGAGCCTCTACCTTCTTGTCTTGTTATTAGATATGTGAGGCCCCCCACAATGAGGGGGGTGGGAAGGGAGGGAGATCAGAGGCATCATTTTCTGGGAGGCTGAGATCTGGGGTGTTCAGCCTAGAGAAGGCTCCAGGGAGACCTTAGAGCACCTTCCAGTGCCTGAAGGGGCTCCAGGAAAGCTGGGGAGGGGCTTTGGACAAGGGCAGGGAGGGAGGGGATGAGGGGGAGTGGTTTCAGGCTGGAAGAGGGAAGATTTAGGTTGAATATTGTGAGGAAACTTTTCACTGCGAGGGTGGTGAGACCCTGGCCCAGGTTGCCCAGGGAAGCTGTGCTGCCCCATCCCTGGAAGTGTTGAAGGGCAGGTTGGATGGGGCTTGGAGCAGCCTGGGCTGGTGGGAGGTGTCCCTGCCCATGGCAGGAGGGTTGGTACTAGTTGATCTTCAAGGTCCCTTCCCACCCAAACCATTCCATGATTTTCCACAGAGGATGTTTGCTATTGTCTTTGGATGAGCAAAAAAGTATCTGGGAGCAAGATTTCACAGGCTAGTGCTCCCTCTTATTCCTCAAGTACAATATCCTGCACAAAACCTGATCCAAGGTGTAGACATGGACTGTCCTGGCACCCTGTGACTGTGCTCACCTGATGTCAAAGGTTGAGCCAAGGAATGACGGGCGCTTGTACTCGGCAGTGGCTGCAGTGTAGGGTGGCTGGGGGTCCGGCTCATTCCAGTACAGGTCCTTCTCCAGAATGGGCAAATCCTGGTGCATCTCATCCACTGCCATCAGGGAGACCTGCAGGGGACAGCAGAAGTGTCTTATGGGGTGAGCAGCGTTATGTGTGGCTGTTATTGGAGAAAGAGATGCTGGGCAGGAGGGAGCCATGTGGTGAGGGTTGGGTGGGTTTGCTGTGTGGTTTCCTGTCACTTGGGTTGGTTTTCACACTAAGAGATTTGATTGATTGGAAGGAAAGTGATGCTGGAGGAGAGAGGAAAGCAATATGCTCTCTAGGACAGAAGGGCTGGGTGGAAGGGCTGAAAGTGAAAAGTTATTGCATGGAAGAAAGCAGAGGAGGCAGTTTTAGATACAGGCACAAGTGGAAAAAGTGAGGGAGGGGCAGGAATGATGTGTCAGTGAAAGGCAGTGAGGGCTTGAAAGGTGATCTGGATCCATGGTGTGTCCCAGAGCATGGACTGAAGCTGCAGTTGGTCTCGTCGGTGTACAAAGATGCCCTAAAAGACACATTGTCCCTGGTGTAGGGAGGTTTTCCTGGCACAAGCCTTGCCCCACATTCTTCTTGGAGCCTGGGATGTCTCTTTGGCTGCTGAGGGGGAACACTGAGCTGATCACCTTCACCCTCATGTTTGTTAGGAAACCTTATTGCTCTGCTCCTGCTCTCCTACCCATCTCCCTCTGGAGATCCTAATCTTCTTTAAGGCTGCAGCCTCGGCAAAACCTGAAGGGCAACAAGGGCTGCTTCTCCACCCCATGGCAAGCAGGGGAGGTGGGTGGCAGAGGTGTTGCAGGAGAAGTTGGTGACTCATGGGGGTTTCTAAACCCTCGGGAGCAGTCCTGAGGGTTCCTCTGCAGGTCAGGCACATCTGGAGGATCTTCCCTTTACTTTACCTGCAGGTTCCTGTCAATGAGCCAGTTGGTTTCGAAGTCATCATCGTCCTCCCCAAAAGGGTTGATGAGCTGCTCGGCCACCTGCATGTGGAGACCACACAGCAAAGGTCATCATGGTCATACCTGCCCATTTCCCTGCAGGGAGAAGGCCTGTGGGGCACAGTCAAGTGTGACATCCCCTGAACTTGGAGCAATGCTTTTCCTCCCAAAAAGGAGCGGGGTGATGGAGGTGTACCCCACTGCCTTCTCCCCAGAGTGGTCAGGACCAAAGCTTAAGAAAGGCAGAGCTGATCTCCATGGTGAGACACTCTAACTGAGAAGGTCTCTGCAATACCCTCAGCCCTTGTTGGCTTCTCACTTCCTTGCCAGCACCTGGCATGTTGTCCACTGGCCAAAGAACACAGCTGGGTACCTGCTGAGCAGAAACTGGGAAGGGCCCTTGGGTGGGTCAGATTTGGGTTCCAGACATACCTTCTTGGACTTACCTTTAGCCAGCCAGCATAGAAGAAGAACTGCAAAAATGTGAAGACAGGCACGAAGAGGTCCAGCTCATGGCCAGGATATGCTTTTTCTGGATCCAGGAACTGCCTCCCAATCAGACAGGCCAGGAAGAAGCTGTAAACAGCCACGGTCACCACCTGGGAAAGATGCCAGGGGACACACCAGAGGACCTTAAGTTCCCAGCTTGCTTTCCCAGCATCAGTTCCACCCCACACAACTCCAAACAGCAGCAAACTGCTGGTTCTGGAGCCTTTTGAAAGTCTTGGGTTCAGTAATGACAGGGTTCTCCTCTGCTCTTTGCAGGAAGATGCATTTCCACTGCAGAAAGCTTTAAATGTGCCCATGTTGTCCCTGGAATGACATCTGTGCAGGGGCCAGAGAAAGAGAGTGGCAGAAGAAAGCAGGTGACATCCTGGATGGAAAGAGCCTGAACAACCTGCTGCATGGTGGTTCTGCTCCTGAAGTGAGGGGTGCTGAGAGCCCTTCCCATTCCTCCTCTTCCCTCTCCTGCTCCTGTCTGGAGCCCCTCATGGTTCAGGGTGTCCTGGGGCTGCTTCCAACCCCAGGGAGGGGAACCCTGGCAGTGCTGCCAAACTCTGAATTAGCTCCTTCCTTCCTGGTCCTCACGCTGGGCCTTTTTTATATTTGCCTGCTTGTTTACCCAGATTTCAGGCTCCAATGAACTTTGTGCCTTTCTCTGTAATCACGAGACTGGAAACTTCCCCTTTGCAAATGAAAAGCAGCTGAGAATTCCTGCGTGGTTCCTTGACACAACAAGCAAGAGGGTTGAAAACAAACCCCTGGCATCACAAGGCTCTGGAACCAGCCTTGTTCCTTGCAGTGAACAGCACAGGACTGTTCCACCACAGGCAGGACAGAGAGGGCCTGGAATGACTGACACCTGTGGATGGACACTAATTAAAAAAAGGGGTTGTGTACTGCAGAGACATGCTTTGCTTTTGCTCCTGCTGTGCAGGACACTGGTCTGTGCAGGAATATAGATTCCCAACATGTTCCCATTAACCTTCAGCGCTGCCTGAGAGGAAGCAGATCCAGTTTCCCAGTGCAGTTCATCAGTGATATCTGAGAGCTGGACTGGGTGAGACAAAGGAGCAAGTTGGTGCCCAAGTGTCTGTCTGGGTTTGCATCAAAAGGGCTGTTAAATAGCTCCCACACATGTGACACAGCTCCAGAGCTGCCCTGCCATCTGAGTGGCACGTGTGGTTAGTTCTTCCTGGACAGCCAGGGCTCCTGCAGAGGTGTTAGGGAAATAAGGCTGGGTTGGGTGTGAGCTGCTGAGTTCCCTGTCATCCAGTGGTTTGGGTTGGAAGGGACCTTCAGAGGCCATCTGGTCCAGCCCCCCTGCAGTGAGCAGGGACACCTTCAACTAGATCAGGTTGCTCAGAGCCCCATCCAACCTGACCTTGGATGAGCCGACATGTGTAGGGTGGGGGTGAAGGGTCCAAGTGTATCTTTGGGTGTGGGTGGGAATGGGGGTGCCTGGGTAGGGAGCCTGGGGGGTCCCTTCTCACCTGGGTGTAGACCAGGGGGATGCTGATCCAGTCGTACCCGTAGAGTCGCCCACACTGGCTGCGCAAGGTGTTGAGCTCCTGCAGGGGGGAAACCAGTGGCCTGGCAGCATCATCTCACATCTTCTCACTGGGGACACTGAGCCTCCCCAGCTCCATTGCCCTTTGTTGCTCCAGCCCATTCCCTCCCACTCACACCTTCTCTGGAAGGAGGGGATCATCCAGGATGCCTGCTCCCTCTGTGCCCAGCCTCATCCCAACATTCCACCAGGAGGGTCTCACTTTTGCCCTGGAGGATCTCCTTGCTCCCTGGGTGTCTCCATCTGAGCCCAGAATCCCCCTTCCTAGCTCACTTCATAGCAGAGTTTTTCTCATAAAATGAGCATCCAACAGGTTAGGCAAAGAATGTCTTGGGAGCATCCATTTCTTTCTCTAGACTGTCTAGTAAGTCTAGATCAATGGCTCAGGGGAAGATCTTGCTCTCTGGGCACATGAATCTCACTCCAGGCAACAGAAACAACAGGGCTTTCTCTGCACATGAACACCAGGAAGGATGAGCTGCTCTGGACCTTTTTTCTCTGCAGCTGGGCATCATTGCCAGGTCTTCCCTGTGGAGCATGGCCTGCCTCCCTGGACTAGCCAAGAGTTTTCATTAGTGAAGTTTTCTGCATGGACCTTTGTTGTAGGGGATGCTTTTGACTTATCCTGGTCTCTTCCAGATATGTGCTTCCTTGTGGCTTTCCATCTATATCCTAGAGACCTCCACTGGCCACTGTCATTCACTGTTCTGGAGTGTGTGAAGGCTGATGAAGGACCTGCTATGTGTGTCTCCCATTGCCACACCCAGATGTCAGTCCCATGGTTTCTCCCAGTCCCACATTTTTGAAAGATGTCACATCCCCTTTGCCTCTAACAGACGTGACGTCGCTGCCTTGTCAGCAGGCCACAAAAACCTCTGCTCTGTCATGAGCTGGAGAGCTGCAGTGGGGGCATTTCCCATCCAGTGTAATATCCCCAGGGACAGGCTTGGCTCCCTGTCCTTCCTCACCATTCCCGTTCTTTGCCTGAGCTCTGGAAATCCCGGTAGTTCCCCCTAGAGGAGCAGACAAGGATCTCAGGCAGTTGCCTGTTGGCCTCAGTCACTCACGTTCAGGATGCCTTGGAGCAGAACGCTGTCCCGGATCCTCCCCTCGTTCCTTGCCTTCACAGCCAGGTTGGAGAACCACACACACGGGATCCAAAACTTGTTGTGGGGTGAATTCAAGCTCTCAAACTTCTTGTGTTCTTCTGGTGTCATGAGGCCTGGGTGGAAAAGAATAGATAGGAGAGGGCTGGGCATAGGATGAAGAAAGGAACTGATCTGGTCTGAAATGAAAGCATCTAAATCTCAGGTGGTCACCTTAGCTCTCCTTAAAAAGCACAGGGGAAACTCAGGCCCTCTGGGGGACACGTAGAAGGAGGACAAGTCTCATTAAAACATTGAGCTATAGGAGTGAGAGGCAGGTTTCTTCTCATTCCACTTTGATGTCTGCAGCACATCTAGCCAGATCCCAGTCAGCAAGGGAGACAAAGTTCTGCTGAGGGTGCAATGGTGTTCAGAGACACCTGCTGAGAATGGGACTATTTCTGTCCTCGTTGTGCCTTCTCTTTCTGGATTGCAAAGGGGAGCTGGTCTGAAATGAAAGCATCTAAATCTCCTCTCAGGGAGTTGTAAAGAGGTGGGGATTGGGCTGTTCAATGAAGTTACGAGGGACAGGACAAGAAGTGAAGAACAGTGAAGTTACAGCCTTTCCAGGAGCTGTCAAGAGTGATGAGGTCTCCTCTCACCCTCCTTACCTCTAGCCTAAACACCCTCAGCTGCTCCTCACAAGACCTCTACTCCAAACCTTTCACCAGCTTCATTGCCCTTCTCCAGCAGCTCAACACCCTTCCCACGGTCAGACGCCCAGAACCCAACACAGGATTGGAGGTGCAACCTCAGCGCTGCCCAGCAGAGGGGTAAAAGCTGAGCTGACCTGCCCTGACGACGTGCTCCATGCTGGGGAAGCGCTTGTAGACGGCGGTGCTGACGGAGCGCAGGATGAGGACGCTGCAGAGGTTGCTGTAGCGCATCAGGGTGCGGCGCAGGAGCCGCCCGTACTCGTCCTCCCCGTCCACGTTGCAGGAGACCAAGTTCATGATGCGGTCAGGCCAGGGGATGCTCTCGTACTGGGCCCACCAGCGGGACACCACCAGGGCCACGTAGAAGCCTAGAGGTGAGCTGAGAGGATTAGTCCATCCTAAAGGAGCAGGTGGTGGCATCCATGGGATCGTGGGTGGGAAAGGACCTTCAGGATCATCTAGATCCAACCCCCTGCATGGGCAGGGACACCTCCCACCAGCTCAGGCCGCGCCAAGCTCCATCCAACCTGCCCTTCAACACTGCCAGGGATGGAGCTTCCAAAACATCTCTGGGCAACCTGTTCCAGGGTCTCACCTCCCTCACAGGGAAGAATTTTCTCCCAATGTCTAACCTAGATCTCCCCTCTTCCAATGTTAATCCATTCCCACCTGTCCTCTCGCTACATGCCCCTGTAGATGATGTACAGGGAGGCTGGTGCTGCTCACAGGGGGATGCAGGTGTGCCTGGAGGGCAATTCCAACCTCCATGCCAAAGTGAGAGTCTGGGTTTCAGGGGGGGGTGTGTTTTATGATACTCTGTGCCTGCCCTCCCAGCAGGACCCAGAACACTTTAGTACAGCTGGCCAGAGCAAGCTGTGTGCTGGGGCCATACCTCACAGGGGGTGATGTCTTCTGCTTGAAGACTTTTAGAAAGGCAGAGGGAGGGATCTGCTTGGTGAAACTTGCTGGGCTCTAGCAAAGCAGGGAGAAGGAATGCTGGCCTGTTCCCCTCCCTGTGTGTTCCCAGGCAGAGCTCCTTACCCAGCACGAAGGACACGGGGATGAGCTCAGCATAGCTGTTGCAGTAGAGTGCCAGCTTCTCAAACATCAGCCTTTGGCTCTCACTCAGGATCAGCCTGAAAGGGAGAAGCAGAAGCATCAGTCTCAGAGAAGAGTCTGGGCCTGCTGGGACAGGAGCCTGGCAAAGGGAGCCAAGGGTGGGTGACACTGCTATGCTGTGAGTCTGGGGGTGATGTGAGTGAACAGCCCTGGTGAGCCAAGGACCTCAGCCCAGCTCCCCAAAACACCCTGCAGACCAGTCTGGAGGAGCCAGAAGTGGTCACTGATGGAGAGTCTGTGATGAGTGATGGAGCCTGATGTCAGGGAGATCCCTATTCTTCCCACTCAGCAGGGTGCTGTGTGGTGTCAAGGGTCTGACACAGAGCTTGGAGGTGCACCCTAAGTCACTTAACATCCTGCAAAAGCTCAGCCCAAGCTCTGCTCTTTCTTCCCTGAGTTCTGCCTCTTCCTTAGAGCTGCTTCCCTGCCTCTCTGCTACATCTGTGATGGACCCAGCTCAGGGAGCTCCCTGTCTTCCCTCACCAAAACCAAAACAGCCAGAGAGTCCAGTTGCCCCATAGCAGATCTGTGGTCCCAGAGCTGATGTCTGCTCTCAAAAATGTACCCAAGATATTGCCTGTTGTGTAACAAAGGAAACTCCCTCCTAGAGCTCCCCACTGTGAGACATCTGTGGTGCTAGTTCAGTCATGGTCTCCACTGATCTAGACATTATTCTTCTGGAGGTAATCATCAAATGCAACAGTTCAGCCTAAAGAAGAGAAACTCTCTGCTTCCCAGAAAAAGGAGATTTATCAGCTGCCTGGCCACAGTGGAGCAGTGAGGAGGGACCTTTCCTTTCCTCCTGTGAACAGGTGAGTGGCTGGCCAGGTCCTCTTCACCAGGACCACTGTCCCAAACCTGTGTTAACTCAGTTGTCCTGCTCCAGGAGAGGCTGAGAGCAAGGGGCTATGCAGGGCTGAAAGGATGTTTACCTGTAGATAAGACTGATGGTGAAGTAGAGAAAGATGAAAATAAGGAACTCGGAGTAGAGAAGTTTGTAGATACTTCCTTTCCATTGGAGCAGGAGCTGTGAGAAGGTACCGAGTCGGGCATCGGCCACACGGTTGGTGTATGTCACTGTCATCACAGGTCCTGGGGGAGATACAAGGCAAGCAGGTGTTGGAGCTGCCAGCAAGCTTGTGCAGGGGGAGGAGACAGGGACACCTCAAGGGTCCCAGCAAGTGAGTGAGATGGAAGGAAGAGAGGAAGAGAGAATAAAACAATGAATTGAGATCAAAAGGCAGGTGGGATCATCATCATGGAATGGTTTGCGTTGGAAAGGACCTCAAAGATCATCTAGTTTCAGCCCCCTGCCCCAGTCTGTGAGGTCCTTTCCAACCCAAACCAGAAGGAGATTTATGATAGGCAATTAATTTGATAAGCTTGCCATCTTTGTCCCGTCTTGGAGGTGCATGTGAGCTGGTTCCAAGGATAGAGAATATACTTCCTGGTGGAGCCCTTGGTTTCTAGTGTTTGATTATCAGCAGTCAAGTGGGGCTGGTTGGTTGGAGTGGACAGAACCCTCTTGCCACTGCCTTCCACAACAATTTCAGATTCATTCTCAGAACCACAAACTCCAAATTACTGTTTCTTGTAGTATTTGCTTCAAGTGTGTTGTTCCTGTAAATCTGCTTGTCAGGAAGTGTCTTCCTGGAATACTTCTAGCAAAAAAACCCCAAACAACAAAGAAACCCAAAGGAAAAAAACCCCAGAAAGGAGAAATTTCTTGGTACTGATCGAGATGGAAGGTACCTCTGGAGATCGGAGAGGTTTTGTGGCATTTGCCCAACAATATAATTGCCTTTAAATGTGGGCTGAGGGCCATATCTGGGCTGTGCTGATCCTAGTCCTGCAGCAGGAGCAGCCCTCCCTGTTAGAGAAGTGAGGGATGGAGCCGGGCCAGGCTCAGAGCACAAATTCCAGCAACTCCACCTCCCTTTTCCTTCAACCATACATTGCACAAGAAATCAGGCTGGAGGAAAAAAGGCATTCAGGCTCATGGAATGCCTCCCCACCATGCAGCATCCCCATTGCACCTCTTCCACCTAATCCTGGGTAAATAATTCTTGATCATCAATTAATAATCAGACTTGCATTTATAGAAACCTACATTTACCAAAAAAAAATCAACACAACAACCAAACTAATGTAATTCATGCCAGGCAGGGACAATGATCCCTTGGTTCATAAATAATTATCTAATGTGAAAACTATTGGTATTTCTAAATCAAAAGATGTTCCCAGGATATTACACAGACGTTGCTGTTTAACAGAAGCAATAATGTTAATAGTTCTGGGGCCCTGGGCTTTTCCCTGAATGGTGGAGGCAAAGCAGCACTTCAAGGGACAATTCAGACCTTACTGCTCTGCAGCAGCAGCTGAAGGCAGGTTAGTTTGTGTCCATGCCCCTCAGTGAAAGATGGATACTTAGGTGGGGACAACCCAGGTCTCAGTCAGCTGGTGCTGTGAAGAAACCCAGCAAGCTCTGTTTTGTTGGTTACTTCAGCCAAATAGCACCTTTATCCTGGCTTTGGCTTTTTGGTGCTGCTCTTCCTTTGGGTTTCCCTGTCATAACTCTCCGTGAATCCCACCTCAGGGGTTCTATATGTATTTATATGTACACACACCCCCAATATAAGGGTTATATGGGGGAGCAGAGCTGGTCCTTGCCCTGCCCAGCTGCACAAATGCACTTCCACTCCAGCCTCATGTACATTCCT